GGAGGGAGGGAGGGATGGACAGATCTCAGATTTTTTTTTTATTTTTTTTTTACCTGTCGCGCCTCATGTGACCTACCAAACGATGGGGAAAATTGCGGCGGCGGCAGGGCGGTATGGTGTGGTGGCGGGGTATGGCGGGGGGCTGTGGCAGCTAGGCTACAAGAAGAAGAAGAAGAAGAAGAAGATGGACGGAAGAGGAGGACGGGGAGAGAAGAGGTATGAGAAGAAGATGAGGGGAAGGCGGAGGAGAAAAGAAGAAGAAGAAGAAGAAGAAGAAAAAGAAGAAGAAGAAGAAGAAGATGGACGGAAGAGGAGGAGGAGGAGAGAAGAGGAAGGAGAAGAAGATGAGGAGGAGGCGGAGGAGAAAAGAAGAGGAAGACGAAGATTTTTTTTATTTTTTTTTAAACCTGTCGCGCCTCACGCGAGCGAAAAAGATGGTGAAGATGGCGGCGGCGGCAGGGCGGTATACTGTGTGGCGGGGTATGGCGGCGGGCTGTGGCGGCTAGGCTACAAGAAGAAGAAGAAGAAGAAGATGGACGGAAGAGGAGGAGGAGGAGAGAAGAGGAAGGAGAAGAAGATGAGGGGGAGGCGGAGGAGAAAAGAGGAAGACGACGAAGATTTTTTTTATTTTTTTTTTAAACCTGTCGCGCCTCACGCGAGCTAAAAAGATGGTGAAGATGGCGGCCGCGGCAGGGCGGTATACTGTGGTGGCGGGGTATGGCGGTGGGCTATGGCGGCTAGGATACAAGAAGAAGAAGAAGAAGAAGAAGAAGAAGAAGATGGACGGAAGAGGAGGGGGAGGAGAGAAGGGGAAGGAGAAGAAGATGAGGGGGAGGCGGAGGAGAAAAGAAGAAGAAGACGAAGAATTTTTTTTTTTTCTTTTTTAAACCTGCCGCGCCTCATGCGAGCTAAAAAAAGATGGTGAAGATGGCGGCGGCGGCAGGGCGGTATACTGTGGTGGCGGGGTATGGCGGCGGGCTGTGGCGGCTAGGCTACAAGAAGAAGAAGAAGAAGAAGAAGAAGAAGAAGAAGAAGAAAAAGATGGGCGGAAGAGGAGGACAAGGGGAGAAGAGGAAGGAGAAGAAGAAGAGGGGGAGGAGGAGGAGAAAAGAAGAAGAAGAAGAAGAAGAAGAAGAAGAAGAAGAAGAAGATGGGCCGAAGAGGAGGACGAGGGGCGAATAGGAAGGAGAAGAAGACGAGGTGGAGGAGGAGGAGAAAAGAAGCAGAAGAAGAAGAAGAAGAAGATGGGCCGAAGAGGAGGAGGAGGGGAGAATAGGAAGGAGAAGACGACGAGGGGGAGGAGGAGAAAAGAAGAAGAAGAAGAAGAAGAAGAAGACGAAGAAGACGAAGAAGAAGAAGAAGAATGGTGGCTAGGGTTCGGCGGCGGTGGAGGGAAATGGCGGCGTGGTATGCCGTTAGGGTATGGCGGTCGAAGAGGATGAAGAAGAAGAGTGTGGGCGGAAGAGGCGGAGGAGGAGAGAAGAGAAAGGAGAAGAAGACGAGGGGGAGGCGGAGGAGGAGAGAAGAAGAAGAAGAAGAAGAAGTAGAAGAAGAAGAAGAAAAGATGACGAGCGGAGCAGGGTTTTTTTTTCTTTCACCTGCCGTTTATCTCGCGACCTACAACGAACGAATGAAAAAAAAAAAAAAAAAAAAAGG